TATTTTATGACCAGGATATGGTTTATCTTTGGAAATGTTCTGTGGATACTTTAAAAGAATGTCCATTCTATTCTTGTTGAGTAGACTGTTCTGTAGACACCAGGTCAAGTTGCTTGATGGTGTCATTCAGGTTTTCTATATTCTTACTGATTTTCTTTCTAACTGTTCTATCAATGACTGGAAGATGAGTTTTGAAATCTCTGACTGTATTTGTGGATTTGTCTGTTTCTTGTAACATTAGGTACATAACATTTGGGACGTTCATATACTCTTGATGAATTGACCTTTTATCACTATTATATCACCCTCTTTGTCTCTGGTAACATTCTTTGCTCTGAAATCCATTTTGTCTAATAATACAGTCATTTTACCTTTCTTTTGACTGAGGTTAACATGATATATGTTTTTCTAGCCTTTAACTTTTATCCTATTTATATATTTATATGTAGGCAGCAAACAACTGAATCTTTCCTTCTTACCCATCCTGACTTTTAATGTGAGTGGTAAGACAATTTAAATTTAATGCAATTATTAATAGGGTTGGGTTTAAGTTTACCATCTTGATATATATTTTCTATTTAAATATCTCCTGTGTTCTTTGATCCATTTTTGGTTTTTTTCCACCTCTTTATGAATTAATTGCTTTTTTTGTTGTTTTCTCTCCTTTGTCAGCTGATTAGTTACAATTCTTTGTTCTGCTGTTTTAGTGGTTGCTTTAGGGTTTATAATATATGTCTATAACTTTTACAATCTTCAGATAATATTACAACAATTTACCTATACCATAAGAACCTTACAACAGTGAGCCATTTCTTTCCCCGACATCTGTGATATTATTGTCATACAATTTATTTTTTTGACCTTATTATTTTTTGCTTTAGACAGTTTTCCTATAAAGAGATGTAAGTCAGAGAGAATGTACTTTAAATTTATTCATATAGTTAACATTTTGAATGCCTTTTATTTCTTTGAATAGACATAATTTCTGTCAGACATCATCTTTTTGCTTGAAGTACTTCTCTTAGCATTTCTGGTAGTATAGTTCTGCTCGTAGTTAATTCTTTCAGCTTTTGTATGTCTGAAAGTCTTTATTTTGTCTTCATTTTTGAAATCTGTTTTCACTGGCTGTAGAATTCTAGATTGGCAGGTTTGTTTCTTTCATTACTTTAAAGGTGTTATTTCACTGTTAATAATGTCTACATTATTTCAAGAAGAAATCTGCTGTCATTTTAAATCTTGGTTCCTCTGTATGTACTATATTATTTTTCTCTCTGTTTTTAAGATTTTCTCTTTATCTTTGGTTATAACCAATTTATGATGTACCTTGGTGTAGTTATTCTTCATGTTTCTTGTGCTTTGGGATTCTTTGAGCTCCTTGGACCTATAGATTTATGGTTTTCAGAAATTTGGGAATTTTTTCAGTCATTCTTTCTTCAGATATGTTTTCTATACCTCCCTCCTTCAATGTCACCAATTATATGGTATAATGAGACCACTTTGAAGTTCACTCACAGGTCATTGATGCTCTGTCCTTTCTTGTTTTCTCTAGTTTCTTTCTCCTTGTTTCCTTTTAGTTAGTTTTATTATTAAATCTTCAATTCACTAATTTTCCTTTTACATCTGCTCTGCTATTAATCCCATCCATTTTTCATCTCTTGAAGTTTGATATGGGTCTTTCTTATATCTTCCGTAATTCTACTTAACATACTCAATACTTACTGCTTCTTGAATATATACAATAAGGTATAAAACTTTTGATACCTGTATCTACCCTTGTTTTAAAAATATGTTGATTTTGGTATCATTTTAGTGCCATAAAACTCTCTTTTAAATTGCACAAGTCAGTGGTTTTTATATATTCTCAGAGTAATGCAACCATGGCAACTATCTCACTTCAGAATATTTTCATCACCTCAAAAGAAACCCCATACCTTTTAGCACTCCCTCCCCATTTCCTCCTTCCCCCAGTTCCAAGAAACCAATAATCCACTTCCTGTCTATGGATTTGCCTATCACAGAGACACTTCAAATAAATGGAATTATGCAGTTTATGGCCATTTGTGACTTGGTCTTTCACTGAGAATAATGTTTTCAGGTTCATTCATGTTGTAGCATGTATTAGTACATTATTGTTGCTCAATATTATATTTTATAGCTACATCACATTTTGATCTCATTCATTAGCTGGTAGACGTTCAAATGGTTTCTAATTTTGAGCTAGTATGAACAATGCTACTATAAACATTCATGTACAAGTTTTGTGTGGACCTTTGTTTTCAATTATCTTGGGCTTTATGCATTCAGGTAGAAATGCTAGATATATATATGGTAACTAACATTCTGAGAAACTGCCAAACTGTCTGCACCAATTTACAATGCCACCAGCAATGTATGAGGGTTTCAGTTTCTCTACATCCTTGTCAACACTGATATTATTTGCCTTTTTTCTTATAGCCAACCGGGTAGCTATGATGTGGTGTCTCATTGTGGTTCTGACTGCATTTCTTTGAGGACTCATGATCTCATGTGCTTATTGACCATTTGTATTATCTTCTTTAGAGAAATACCTATTCAGATCCTTTGCCCATTTTTAGTCAAGTTATTTGTCTTTTCATTGTTGCATTGTAAGAGTTCTTTATATATTCTGGATTTTAGATCTATATTAGATCTATAATTTTCTCCTACTCTTGTGTCATTTCATAATACCTTTAGAATAGAAAGGTGTTAAATTTTATAAAATCAATGTTTTTTCCTTTTGCCATTGGTTTTTGGTGTCATATCTGAGAAATCATTGCCTATTCTAAGATCACAAAGATGTATTCTTATGCTTCCTTCTAAGAGGTTTATAGATTTAGTTGTTACATTTATCTTTGTCATTTCTAGGTCAGTTTTGATTCATTTTTTTCCTCATTTTGGGTTGTATTTTCCTGCCTTGCATGTTTGATGGCTTATTGGATGTTTCACACTGTTAGTTTTACCTTGTCAGAAGCTGGATATTTTTGTATTCATGTAGATATTCTTGAAATTTGTTATGGGACACAGTTATGTTACTTGGAAATAGTTTGGTCCTTTTTGGTCTTTGTTTTGAGCCTGTTCATTGCACCAGAACAGCATTTAGTTTATGGCTGCTTTTACCCTACCACTAAGGCAAAGCCTCTCTAGGTTCTAGAGTTGATACTTCATGAATTATGAGATTTTCTACTGGGCAGGTAAAAATAGTAACTTTCCCTTGCTGGGGATTGTTCCCTCTAAATCCTTTCAAGGTGGTCTTTTCCCCAGTTTCTGGTAGTGTCTCACATGAGAATGCCAATTAGTACTTAGCTGGAATACGAGAGGAACCCCCCTGCAGATCTCTGGAGCTTCCTTCCCATCCCCCTCTTTCTGCAGCCCTTTCTTGTGTTACTCTGCCCTAACCAAACCACTGCGTACTCACAGACTCCAAGTAAGGCCTGGCAGTTACCAAAGGGGAGGGGCTGGAGAGGGTGCGTGGGGAGGGAGGAGAAGAGGATTGAGGGGTATTTTGATTGGTACACATGGTGTGTAGAAGGTCGTGGGGAAGACAGTGTAGCACAGAGAAGACAAGGAGTGACTTGACTCTGTGGCATCTTACTATACTGATGGACAGTGATTTCAGTGGTGTATGGGGGGGACTTGATAATATGGGTGAATGCAGTAACCACAATGTTTTTCATGTGAAGCCTTCATAAGAGTGTATGTATATCAATGATACCTTAATAAAATTAAAAAAAAAAAATACTGTGTTGACCTCCCCAGAACACCAGCTCTGTCTCCTGGTTTTAAAATGTGTCCAGAATTTGTTTTAATCAGGTACGGTAGAATGACAGACCCAAGGACAACTGCCTGTGGATTCAGAGTTTATTAGAGTTTCCAAAAGGAGGCGTGGGAAAGCGCAGGGGCTAAGGGGCTACCTTGTTTGGGTAGAGGGATTATAGACACTGATTTATTCCAGGCAGCACAACTACCCACTTAATTTTAGGTACAACTGCCCACTTAATTAATAAAAATAGAATTTATCCTCTGAGACTATTAATGAAAAGAAATTTTTAGAATGTAGGGGAGGAAAACTCATCATTCATAATAAATGGGTGGAAAGAAGAGCCAGAAATAAGGCAAAGCATACACAAAACAAGGTGACTGAAGTCAAAGCAATTATCTTTAATAACAATATCTGGGAATATGTTAAGTCCCTTGACTTAAGAGATAGAGATTTTCTAATGGCATTTTTAAAGAAGTCCACTTATGATGTTAAGAGACATACTTAAAACAGAATGACAAAAGATTAAAAATAAAGGAAAAGGCAAATATACCAGGCCGACGATGATAAACAAGAAAACAAAGTAACAGTAATAATATCAATCAAAATGGAATTCACGGCACAAAGCATTAAAGGAAAATTCTCAAACCAGTAAAAGAAAGCCACATAAATTCACGTTGTCTCTGGCTTTCTTCCTGTTTCTCAGGTATTTGGCACTGTGAAGGTGAGGGTCACTTTGCAGTCAGTATAATGGGACTTTCATCATTAAAAATTCTTAGAGGTCCTTTAAGCCTATTTGGAAATAAACATTTTTTTTAGTTGTGTCCTTTCTTTAAAAATTTCTAAGACAGTTTCATGTTAGTAAGTGTGTGCAGTTTCCCTGGTATATATGATTCATCTGTGAAAATTTGTGTTTATGGTCCCTAAGTCATAAAAACACACTGAGCAATTGTTCCTTTCTGCTGTGGAATCTGACATTAGTCCACATGCTGCTGTTGGGAAAGCCAGGTAACAATGAGAGGAGGTTCTTCCGTAGGACAAGCACTTGTTTTCAGAGGTGATACATGTTACCTGACTCCCAGACCTCTCTCGGCCTTACTGGTATCTCACATCAGGCAGCACTTGCTGAAAGACAAGAGGGCAACAGAAATGTACTACAATTATCTTGACATCTGTGTTTATTCTAAGTGAATGTTCTAAGTGTTTGCCTTTTTTTTTAATGTAGCTAATGCTGCCTACCTTGGGAGCCAAGAAATGGTGGAAGTGGTAAAGAGAGACAATGGAACCATAAAGGAACATTTATCTAAGGTAATCACTTTAGTGCTGCAAGGAAGTTAAGTAGATGGGCAGAAATATTTACTGAGGGTGAAAGGCTAGTATTGGTTAGAGTCTGTAAGACCTCAAGGGTTTGTAGATTTAGAGAGAGTTCTACTTTAGTTAAAATTAATATAGTCCTTGAAAGTTTCATAGGAAGTAAGTAAAGCTCATTGCATGGTTTCTTAAATATATTTGACTACCTGTTTTTGTTGGGTTTTATTTTGAGAATAAATACTTCTCTCTAGGGCCCTTGTGCTGAGAAGATTCAGTAATATTTATATAGAGTAAATGAGTTATATTCAAAGGTAATTAAAACATTGGAAAATAACTAACATTACTATGACCTGATGATTCAGTGAGCCTCTCTGTCTTATTCTCTAGTGTATTAGAGGAATGTGCAGCTCTGACACCAGGCTGTATAAGCTGAGGCAGAAAGGCAAATATTAAAATATTTGGCATTTGTTAGTTACTGCTGCAAATGCTAGAATCTACACAAACTCGTTTGGAAGCACTAATCTCTGAAACTGCAAGGAGACCGTGGTTCAGAATATGTCTGAGCACCCTAGAATTTAGGTAGCTCTGGTACCCCCCTTGCATCTTTTGTGTCTCTGCCCATTCGGAATAGGACCGAGCATCACTGCCTCATACGAGAGCCTCTAAGCCGCATGTGGTTATTTATGGCTGGTCCGAATTGAGATGTGCCGTAAGTGTAAAACTGGATTTCAGAAACCTAGTGCCAAAGAAAAGTAAAATATTTTATCAATATTTCTATATTGATAACAAGTTGAAATGGTAATATTTTAGATATATTGAGTTAACTGAAATATTAAAAGTAATTTCATCCATTTCTTTATACTTTTTTAATGTAGTTGCTAGAAATATTTTAATTACATATATGCCTTTATATTTCTCTTGGACTGTGCTAACCTGGAGCTTTATAGTCAATGCTGAACTGTGATACCTGCTGGGTTCAGTGACAAGAGCCCTGCTGAGTGGCCAGCTCTTACCAGGCCCAGGAACCTACAGTCTGCTGGTAAAGTCTTAGATACCCTACTGGGTTTAGAATCTCTTCATAAACTTTGAAGCATTCAACTTAAACTTGCCTACAGTGTTAATTCATATTTCTATAACCTCCCAATACAATTATCTTAAAGCAAAAAATGCATATGTTCTTAAAAAAATATTTTCAGAATATTGATCTGTAGTAGCTTCAGCCAGAGAGGACTTTTAAAAATGCCAATCTGTGTTTTGCTTATGACCATAGCAGTCATCGTATTTCTAAAATAGCATTTGGCTAGAGATTGAAATTTTGAAGCCAGAAGGAAACCCTCACTAGCTGACTGGGGGAAGTTGGGGCCTCAGAAGGACCCTCTCTCCAGGGCTTTTAACCGTTTCCAGTCATTGAAGGATGTGAAAATATAAGAAAAGCAATATTTTATTTTTCAGTTAAATTATAAGTGAATTTGCTTCAAAAATGCATTTGAGTTCTCAAGGCTGGAAGTTCATAAAAACAACTCAATTCCCAGTTTATAAGACTGGCAGATGCTCACTTCCAAAACTCACACTTGCTGAATGTCTAGACCCATCATATGTCAAAGCTCTTCTTAGCACCTGTGGAAGCCAGCTGCTTTAAAATACTCATCATTTTTGGATTCTGTTTGTATGTTGTGCTCAGAAAGAGGTCAAAGGAAGGTGCTAACTTATTCCTGTCCTAAGTTAAGTCCATATGCACATGTAATCATTCCCAGATAGAAGTCTGCTCGTGGTAACTGTGTCAGGACTGTAAGTTTACTGAAGCTTTTATGGGAGAAATATGGGGTATAATGGTAGATGACAGACGTTTCAAGGTTAATATTAACACACAGTCACAGGAATAAACTTTTCCAACTATAGGGAATGGTTTTGTTTTGTTTCTAAGATAGCATTGAAAGTACTTGTGGAATTTTGGAAAGCAAGACATTGTTTACTTAATGATACAAAACTACTTTGCAATTAATTGATTATCCTTTTTACCAGCGAAGTTTGAGCTGTCCACCACAGTAATACAGTTCCAGTTCCTGAGTGCAGTGGGGAACAAAGAGACAGGAAGTTTATTGCAACTTTTTGTTCCTGTAATGAAAAAAGAGGAAACATGCTATAATTTAATATTGGTAGAAGTCGAATCAACATGTGTCCCAGTCTACTTGAGAAAATAAGGAAAGTTGGAAGGGCACATAGTTCTAGGAATATAGTAGGCATCACTTCTTGCCTTCGACAACCCTGATAATTAACCAAACTTAAAAACCAATTCCCAAGACTGGACATATCTATTGTAGATAGCCTAGTCGAGAGACTCTGTCCCTTTCAGGGACAGAGTCTGTCTACCCAGGACTGTCCACTTTGAAGACATTTTGAACCGCATATTTTGTTGCAAAGATCATTCCCTGTATCTCAATAACATTATTTCAAGAAGAAATCTGCTGTCATTTTAAATCTTGGTTCCTCTGTATGTACTATATTATTTTTCTCTCTGTTTTTAAGATTTTCTCTTTATCTTTGGTTATAACCAATTTATGATGTACCTTGGTGTAGTTATTCTTCATGTTTCTTGTGCTTTGGGATTCTTTGAGCTCCTTGGACCTATAGATTTATGGTTTTCAGAAATTTGGGAATTTTTTCAGTCATTCTTTCTTCAGATATGTTTTCTATACCTCCCTCCTTCAATGTCACCAATTATATGGTATAATGAGACCACTTTGAAGTTCACTCACAGGTCATTGATGCTCTGTCCTTTCTTGTTTTCTCTAGTTTCTTTCTCCTTGTTTCCTTTTAGTTAGTTTTATTATTAAATCTTCAATTCACTAATTTTCCTTTTACATCTGCTCTGCTATTAATCCCATCCATTTTTCATCTCTTGAAGTTTGATATGGGTCTTTCTTATATCTTCCGTAATTCTACTTAACATACTCAATACTTACTGCTTCTTGAATATATACAATAAGGTATAAAACTTTTGATACCTGTATCTACCCTTGTTTTAAAAATATGTTGATTTTGGTATCATTTTAGTGCCATAAAACTCTCTTTTAAATTGCACAAGTCAGTGGTTTTTATATATTCTCAGAGTAATGCAACCATGGCAACTATCTCACTTCAGAATATTTTCATCACCTCAAAAGAAACCCCATACCTTTTAGCACTCCCTCCCCATTTCCTCCTTCCCCCAGTTCCAAGAAACCAATAATCCACTTCCTGTCTATGGATTTGCCTATCACAGAGACACTTCAAATAAATGGAATTATGCAGTTTATGGCCATTTGTGACTTGGTCTTTCACTGAGAATAATGTTTTCAGGTTCATTCATGTTGTAGCATGTATTAGTACATTATTGTTGCTCAATATTATATTTTATAGCTACATCACATTTTGATCTCATTCATTAGCTGGTAGACGTTCAAATGGTTTCTAATTTTGAGCTAGTATGAACAATGCTACTATAAACATTCATGTACAAGTTTTGTGTGGACCTTTGTTTTCAATTATCTTGGGCTTTATGCATTCAGGTAGAAATGCTAGATATATATATGGTAACTAACATTCTGAGAAACTGCCAAACTGTCTGCACCAATTTACAATGCCACCAGCAATGTATGAGGGTTTCAGTTTCTCTACATCCTTGTCAACACTGATATTATTTGCCTTTTTTCTTATAGCCAACCGGGTAGCTATGATGTGGTGTCTCATTGTGGTTCTGACTGCATTTCTTTGAGGACTCATGATCTCATGTGCTTATTGACCATTTGTATTATCTTCTTTAGAGAAATACCTATTCAGATCCTTTGCCCATTTTTAGTCAAGTTATTTGTCTTTTCATTGTTGCATTGTAAGAGTTCTTTATATATTCTGGATTTTAGATCTATATTAGATCTATAATTTTCTCCTACTCTTGTGTCATTTCATAATACCTTTAGAATAGAAAGGTGTTAAATTTTATAAAATCAATGTTTTTTCCTTTTGCCATTGGTTTTTGGTGTCATATCTGAGAAATCATTGCCTATTCTAAGATCACAAAGATGTATTCTTATGCTTCCTTCTAAGAGGTTTATAGATTTAGTTGTTACATTTATCTTTGTCATTTCTAGGTCAGTTTTGATTCATTTTTTTCCTCATTTTGGGTTGTATTTTCCTGCCTTGCATGTTTGATGGCTTATTGGATGTTTCACACTGTTAGTTTTACCTTGTCAGAAGCTGGATATTTTTGTATTCATGTAGATATTCTTGAAATTTGTTATGGGACACAGTTATGTTACTTGGAAATAGTTTGGTCCTTTTTGGTCTTTGTTTTGAGCCTGTTCATTGCACCAGAACAGCATTTAGTTTATGGCTGCTTTTACCCTACCACTAAGGCAAAGCCTCTCTAGGTTCTAGAGTTGATACTTCATGAATTATGAGATTTTCTACTGGGCAGGTAAAAATAGTAACTTTCCCTTGCTGGGGATTGTTCCCTCTAAATCCTTTCAAGGTGGTCTTTTCCCCAGTTTCTGGTAGTGTCTCACATGAGAATGCCAATTAGTACTTAGCTGGAATACGAGAGGAACCCCCCTGCAGATCTCTGGAGCTTCCTTCCCATCCCCCTCTTTCTGCAGCCCTTTCTTGTGTTACTCTGCCCTAACCAAACCACTGCGTACTCACAGACTCCAAGTAAGGCCTGGCAGTTACCAAAGGGGAGGGGCTGGAGAGGGTGCGTGGGGAGGGAGGAGAAGAGGATTGAGGGGTATTTTGATTGGTACACATGGTGTGTAGAAGGTCGTGGGGAAGACAGTGTAGCACAGAGAAGACAAGGAGTGACTTGACTCTGTGGCATCTTACTATACTGATGGACAGTGATTTCAGTGGTGTATGGGGGGGACTTGATAATATGGGTGAATGCAGTAACCACAATGTTTTTCATGTGAAGCCTTCATAAGAGTGTATGTATATCAATGATACCTTAATAAAATTAAAAAAAAAAA